CTTGTTGCACCAAACCGGCTGCATCCGCGAAGGTCGGCAGGTAGTCCGCAGTTGAATAGGTTGTGAACACGGCATAGACCGGATCACGCGAAGGACCTGCTTGATACAGGGGTCGGAAGAGAGTGTGTCCCCACCACCCTCCGAACGAGATGTTCACCCTGTGGTCTGCGTGTTCATGCACAACGGGCACGCGAGCACCCGGGAAAAAACGGGAAAAAAATGCGCATCATTGCCGATCATTGAAACCCGGTATACAATTGACTGAATTTCTTGTGGAAATAAGGGGAGCGCTAACGGACGGGGCGAGCCCAGGACGAAGAGAAAAACACTCGACAATTTCTACCCAGTGTCACGCGCTGCTCCTGAAGTGACGAAACCTTGGGACCCATACCCCCTAGTAGTGTGGAAAGCATCATCAGTGGAGACGTCAAGCTCAATCAGCGCTGCAGATTTCGTACACGGCCCGCTTGGCTCATCTCGTGGTAGCGGCCGTTAAAACGTCGACAGTCTGTCCGACGAGAGGCGTAAACCGTCACACAACGCCTCGTGACGCACGCATCCAACCCGCAACGGTCCCCAAACTAGCCCAAAATCGGGTCTACATCACTGCCGCGGAACGCGTACGAAACGCCGCACAAGATATTCTCTTTGCGTTTTTCTCTCGACAGCTTGAGACCTTATCTGGACTTCATACGTTAACTTCGGCCGCAAACTGAACACGCACTTACATGGAACAAAGACACGGATCGGCGCCTGGATAACCGTTGCCAGGATTGGCAGCACGAACTGCTGGAGCCATTGTCCCTTGACGGCTATGTTGTGTAGCTGTGCAACGAAGAACAGCCGCGCGGTCTCACGCGAACCAACACGGGCTTTGTCTAACGTGTCGGGCTCAACACACCACCCGGCAGCGGTGAGTCTGTCGTAAACATNCTAACTTTGGCCGCAAACTGAACACGCACTTACATGGAACAAAGACACGGATCGGCGCCTGGATAACCGTTGCCAGGATTGGCAGCACGAACTGCTGGAGCCATTGTCCCTTGACGGCTATGTTGTGTAGCTGTGCAACGAAGAACAGCCGCGCGGTCTCACGCGAACCAACACGGGCTTTGTCTATCGTGTCGGGCTCAACACACCACCCGGCAGCGGTGAGTCTGTCGTAAACATCACCAGTGTAGTTGTCCCAGCAGCAGAAGATATCCTCCTGAAGGGACAAATATGCCTCCATGTGCCGAAGCCCTTCAAGGACGACGCTCAGCCGCAGCTTCGCGGCCAACTGTGGGACGGCGGCCCTTACCGCCCGCCCCTCCGCCCTCACATACTGCAGCGCAACCGCGTTCAACAGGCAGTTGCCGTCACCTAGCGTGATGAACGGTGTGCCGGTGCCTCCGCCGTCTTCTGGGTGTGTCCCCTGCATAAGGGCTGCCGTGTACATGTCCTCGTCGAGACCTTTCGCGACTAGCTCCGCTCTTGTCTGCGCGACACAATCCACGGCGGTATAGAAACGCACATCAGAGACGCATCAGGCTAGGTGAGCTAAATGAACCGCACACGAATGGTGACAGAAATCAGAAAGGTAATCGGACTAAGGGGTAGAACGGTTTGCGCCGACACAACGTTGTGAGTGCCAGCGTGAGTGGCTCAGCGGCTTCCAACACTGTACGATTGGCGCGCAAATTCGCTAACCTTTCGGCAACTTCGGCAAACAAACATCCCAGGTCATTTCACCCTCACGGGGTAAAACATAGTGTCAGTACCGGTGGGTCCTTCTCACACTTACCCCCACGTAAACGGAAGAGAGGGAGGAAGTACCGAGGAAGCATTCTTCAACTACAGAGGCAGTACATACAACGGCAACAGTAGGCNTAACCTTTCGGCAACTTCTGCAAACAAACATCCCAGGTCATTTCACCCTCACGGGGTAAAACATAGTGTCAGTACCGGTGGGTCCTTCTCACACTTACCCCCACGTAAACGGAAGAGAGGGAGGAAGTACCGAGGAAGCATTCTTCAACTACAGAGGCAGTACATACAACGGCAACAGTAGGCATCGGCGACATGCAATCGCAATCTGTCCTAACCCAAGATATCTTGTCTACATTGCCTGCTACGACGCCAGTGCGGCTGTCGGGAGTGCCGCGCCGCAAGAAATCCGCCACACTCTATCCTTCCTTATCGGTGCAATAATTCAAGAATTCGCTGAGAATTTTTGTACCTCGGTACCTCGGATTTGTGGCAGATTTGCGGCAATTGCGGAGGAATTCTCCACTGCAAAACGCGGGACAATCAGCATGATCACAGCAGCACAGCAGCGTAGTGTTGGAACCGGTTCTGCATGACACACCTGGGACGATGGGGGGAGAGGGTGCGTGAGAATTGGATCTCTAACCTTCGCCACCTGATCCTTTGCCTCCTTCAGCGCACGGTCATCAACCGCTAGGCCGTGCGAGCTCCCCTTGACTCTCTGCAGTGTTGGTGCGAGGTGCTCCCGCACTTGAGCCAATGCCGCGTAGTGAGGATTGGCCGTCCTCGTGTCGAGTAAGCTCGACCTCGCAGGCATTTTAACTGATGTTTGCGTGTTTGTGGGCGTCCACGTGGTCCGCGTGGGGGCGTTCCTGTCGGGATGCGAGTAGGCGCAGGCGCGAACCTCTGCGTACCTGGTGCCGCGGACCCCTAAACTTCTATTTGAATTTTTCAGTGACGGCCGCCTCCTCGTTCGCGTCATGAGTAACGTAGTTCAGATGATTTTACGATATATGTAAATCCACCTTGTCTCGAAAATACTATACCAGTGCGGCTGCGTACATCGGAAACGTGGCGGGGGGCACCGAATACGCCGTGTGGTGTTTTCTTCGTGTTTTCGTTTCTGAGGTATGCTCAACAGGCAACTCAAACGGAACAACAACTACGCACAGTGTGAACTGCGGTGCCCCTTTGTCGATCAATTATTTTCTTATAAACCACTACCAATGGACACAGACCTCTACCGCCACTTGAACAGTAGCTATGGGCCATACCAATGTAGTGCACGTGGTGTGGTGTCCATCGGCGCCGTGTGTGGCGAGAAACGGGCGGTGTCGTATATAAGCTTATCTACGACACCGCCCTTGGGGACACCGTCCNATCCGCGCCGTGTGTGGCCAGAAACGGGCGGTGTCGTCTATAAGCTTATCTACGACACCGCCCTCGGAGACACCGTCCCGCCGGGTGTAGGCGTACCATGGCACTGACTCGGTGGATTTCGCCCCACAGCGGCTTGAACGATAGCTATAGGCTGTACCAATATAGTGCACGTAGTCTGATGTCCATCCGCACCGTGTGTGGCGAGAAACGGGCGGTGTCGTATATAAGCTTATCTACGACACCGCCCT